CGCTGGCGGGAGCCGCGGTCGCCCGGGCCGAGATTGGGGGGGCAAGGCGGGCGACAGAAGGCCGATGCCTCCGTCGCCCGGCCCTCTACAGAATCCACCCCCCAAACCTCCAGGTATTTCCCTCCTTAGAGCTGGCAACCCTACATTCCCCTCAGTGCCTGTTGGTAGGCAACTAAGCTTGGTCCTGTCACCTACTTTGGCCTTTGGGAGAAAACACATTGGGGCCAATCCTGATAGGGTTGCCAACTCCAGATGGGAAATTCCTGGAGGTTTGAGGGATGGAGCCTGAAGAGGGTGAGGTTTGAGGAGGGGTGGGACCTCAGACAGGTACACTGCCATAGACTCCACCCTCCAAACCAGTCAGTCCCACATAGGGAACCATTGTTGCCAATCTCCAGGTGAGGGCTGGAGAGCACTCAGTATTACAACTGTTCTGCAGAAGGGAGGGCAGAAGTCAGCTGAAGTCAAAGGGGCAGATAATGGTAGGTTGGTGGCTAGCTGGGAAGGAGATGGGGTTGCCAACTACATGCTGACAAATTCCTGGGGATTTGAGGGGTGGAGCCTGGAGAGGGTGGGGTTTGCAGAGGGGTGGGACCTCAGACAGGTAGAATGCCATAGACTCCACCCTCCAAACCAGCCATTTTGTCCTGGGTAACAATTGTTGCCAATCTCCAGGTGAGGGCTACAGATTACTCACAATTACAACTGCTCTTCAGGTAGCAGAGATCAGTTCCTCTGGAGAAAACAGTGGACTCTGTCATTATACCCTGCTAAGGTCACCACAGCAAATTGACACTGTTTGCCCAAAGCCAGAGCACTGCCCCAGAGCCTCTTTCTAGATCACGTTGTATTGCTTTCACAACGGGCTTTACTGCTAGTATTCAGATAAAACTCTCAAGTCTAGAATTCTAAGCCCTGGAGGTGCTCGTCCAATTAAACGGAGAGCTGAACTGCTGCTATACTGAAGCTTTGCTGCTATACTGCTATACTTGCTGCTATACTGAAGCCTTGCTTATCCACAATCACCTGGCAGTAGAATTACCCCTATGCTCCTACAGCACTCAGTATATTCCCCATTACAATCCAACAGTTTCTCTTTGTCTTTAATTTCCTTAAACAGTGGTTCTATAATGTATCATTTAACTTCTGTCAACCCTGCTGTTCAGAAAAAAAACATTTCCTCTTTCCACAAAAAATAAATTTCTAGATAGTAACTGAATTAAAATTAGTTTTGTCTTATAGTGTCGTGGCTTGGCAGTGCATATACATTCCCTCACTCTTCCAGGTTCTCTCCATAGGCAAGAAAGTTGACACTCACCTGCCATGCTTTGGAATGACACTCAAACATATATTTTACATCAGTGAATAAAACTTTGCTCTTCAGTCACTATAAGCACACACCCATCCGCTTGTGAAAGACTTGTTCACCTCAGTGCTCTATGCAAATATGATTTCTGTGTCATGGCTTCTGTGCAGTGCTACATTGGAATTGCATAGTTACAGGCTACAGTACAGAGCATGCTACAGCCTTCAGCAGGGGTCATTTCCTGCAGGAGCGCACAGGAGCGGAGCTCCAGCAGTAAAGAGCCCAGGGGGCGGGCACATGCAACAAGCCCCCGCCCACTTCCCCCCGCCCCTGCTCCGAGCAGCCCCGAGCCATGAGGAGCACAAGAATCTGCGTGTCCCCCCCCCCCCCTAGCTAGCAATCCAAAACAGTCCAGTGGAGCTTGAGCAGAGGGTGTTGTCTTCCGACACACTTCTGGTGATGCCAGGGGGTGTGGCATATGCAAATAAGTTATGCTAATGAGTTATGCTAATGAGCTCCTGCACCTCTTTTTCTACGAAATGACCCCTGGCCTTCAGAAAGAACAAAGGCTTTCTGCTTGCTGTGCCTGAGAAGGGACTCTTCTTTCTCTATTTAGGTCCTGAGGGCTTAGCACACCCTCATCAAATCCATTAGTCTGCTTGGAACACTGGAGGCGAATTTCCTACTCAACCCCCCCCCCCCCCCCCATCCATAAAAATTGACCAAACAATTCTTCCCTTGGTGAAAGTTCATTTAATACTTTATAACAAGTTTTTCAGCATACACTGTAGTCTTGGATTAGGAGACATCTGTTGGACATGGCTAGAAAAGATGCACAAAAGAAGCTCACTTAGACTTCTGTAGCAGAAAGCATCACTTTTTTAATCTACATAAGCTGAAAAGCAAAGGAAATGGGTCTTTCTCTCCCTCCCCCTTGCCCATAGGTGTAAAAGGGCGTGTTTTGGATAAGGACGGAGAATCTATTGCAGATGTAATAGTAGAGGCCAAAGGAAGAAGTCATGTATGTCCTTACAAGACCAATAGAGATGGAGAATATTATCTTCTGCTCCTGCCTGGGGACTATGTACTTAATGTAAGTATACTTCTATGGCCGCGTGAACTCCCTATCCCAGGAAATATTGCAATTATACACAGAGACCTGTGTGTGAACTCTAAAGCACTTTTACACTCCCCCCCTCCAGTTGCAGCCCCTTGCAAGACCCAGTGCTTTTCAAGGGCCTGTTTGAAAGATGGGTGGACTTAGAATGGGATGCCACCTCTTCTATGACTGAGTTTGAATCACTTCACAATAGTGCTTCTCTGAGGAGTGAACATTAAGATCCTGTTTTTTTAAAAAAATGTCCAAAGGTCAATTTAAGAATGATGACTTCCCCATGTTTCCAAATTTACCCTAATGTTTGAGGGATCCTATGTCTTACCTCCTCAGTTATTACAGCAGTGTCCCAAACCAGTTGAGTTCACATAAAGCTTTTACTACAGTGATTGTGTCCTCTGTTGGCAATTTAGTTATGTATTGGGTTGAAGCCTAGAAATTAATTTATCTGGTACATGAAATAAGAGATCACTAAGAGAGGGAAATTAAGGGTAGCTCTGTGAGATAGCTGCAGCATACTAGTTCTAATTGTGTATCTTGGATGGATTCCTGTGAATATGTATATGAGTAAATATAATGGGGGGGTGGATGGGCAGAGGGAATCTTTGGCAGGGGGCCTATGGCAGCTCATAGAAGCCCTGACCATTAGTACAGGTGACACCCTCCCCCTATCAGAATGTCACATTAATGTAACAAATGAGTTTTGATACAATAATGCCAAAATCTACTTTATGGGATAAACTGCTAAATGTAACACTATGGGAATAAGAATATGAACTCTTCTTATAATTGTACAAATGTAAGCCCTTCTTACATTCACTGCGGTTTACTGAAATAACCCTCCATCTATCTATCTATATAAAAGAAAGTCCCCTCACCGTAAAATCAACGCCCAGGCCAAACCACTGGATGTAGAAACATGAAATTCGAGGAGAGCGCTCCTACCATGATGTACATGCTTACTAAGAAGGGATTTTTAGAAATTTGTTAAAAGGGATAAAATATGCTCCCCCCATTGATTACTATGTAGTTGCCAGGCTGCTGCCTCCTTGCACTCCCCACTCTCTGATTGATCAGCTGCAGAGCTCAGTGTTCTGAGGTAAAAACACACACAGTTACAGGAGACTGCAGAGAGCTCATGACAGTTGAGGAAATCAGGAATGGCCAACAACCATCTGTGAGGTGAAGCAATGCTGCTGGCCCAGCCTCTCTGATGGCTTCCAACACACTCCCCCCACCTTCTACATCTAACAGGCGGTTGTCTTTCAGGTGCAGCAGTGGTTGCATGGTGCTTAAAGCCACGAAGAAGCCTGCCCCAGCAATAACACCTTAGTGATCCTGCCAGCCACACATCCACAGTGGCTTCTAATACTCCTCCCCCTCCCCGACCTACACTGGACAGGCAGCTGCCTGTCAGTTGTAGGAGAGGAGGTGGGATGCTTACAGCCACCAGGGAGGTTTGCTCAGCAGGATTGTCTTAGCCCTGCTGCTGGCCCAGCCTCCCTGATGCCTTTAAATACAATCCCCCCAACACCAGACAGGCAGGTGTCTGTCAGGTGTAGGAGCAGGGCCAGGGTACTTTAATCCATCAGGGATGCCGCCCCAGCAGGATCACCTTAGCAATGCTGCTGGGCCAGCCTCTCTGATGGCTTCCAACACACTCCCCCCATCTCCTACACCTAACAGGCAATTATCTGTCAGGTGCAGCAGTGGTTGCAGGGTGCTTAAAGCCACGAGGGAGCCTGCCCCAGCAGTAACACCTTAGTGATCCTGCCAACCCCGCCTCCACAGTGGCTTCTAATACTCCTTCTCCCTCCTACACTGGACAGGCAGCTGCCTGTCCAGTGTAGGAAGGTGTAGGAGCAGGACCAGAGTACTTTAATCCATAAGGAATGCCACCCCAGCAGGATCACCTTAGTGGTGCTGCTGGCCCAGCTTAGCCACACTTCCACCCACAATGGAAATATACCCCAAATTTGTAGATAACTGTTTTCCTTTATTAGGTTATTTAACTTCTCACAATGTGGATTCTAGAAAATTGGTTCATATGAACGGGCTTAATATCTGATTGGTGTTTTGAATATGTAATTATGTCCCACTTTTAAAATGTAACATAAATGAGAATCATTTTTGTTAAAAAAAGGGGGGGTTACCCTAAGGGGGTAAAAAAGGGACAAAATGTGTTCACCCAATTGTTTTCCATGTGTCTGTCAGGCTGCTGCCTCCTTGCCCCCACTCCCCGATTAGTCAACTGAGCAGTTCAGAGTTCTGAGCTAAACCTGCCTGTTTGCACCCACCTCCCTCTGAATGCTCAGCTGTGAATGTCAGTGTTCTGAGGTAAAAACGCAGTTAGAAGAGACTGCAGACAGCTGAGTACAGAAATCAGAGATTTAAGACTCCTGAATAGACATTTTTCAAAAAAGCCAGCCAGCATGACAATTGAGTTAATGAATGTTCATGGGGACTTTTCTGGGATCCATTTCGATGCTTACCTCCCTCGTGAACCTGAAGAAATGTCCACCACATCACCACTCCCTCACACCAACTCTGCCTCACACCTCTCACCTCTTCCTGCCCCCATGTAAACTCCTGGCAAACATCGAGCCAGATACACCAACTCTACAAGGAGGAGCCAATTTAGGAATGTGGCAAAGACATTTGCACAGGCCAGGTACCAGTGAGATCACCCTGAGGTGCTCAGAACAACACAGTCTCCATTGACGGTAGTTAGAGACGCCGAAAAATAGCAGAGTAGTTTAGAGTATATACAGTTTATTTACACTGGAGGATATTTACAGCCTTTCTGTTCGCTCTGACAAGGTGCTTCGCTGACAACTGATCCCACACAGGAGATGTTCAGCACTGTACAGCTGTACATTTATATTTACATCGACCAATCATATCACAGTAATTTACATAATGCCTAGTCATCATGATTGTGCAGAGTCTGATGCAATCACCTTATCACATGACCACTTACTGTCATAACTAGATCATTTAGATCTGACATTGCTGCTCATTGCAGACTGACAGCTTGCCAGTATAGTTACAGATACTGACATCCATATGAGCAAAACAATCCAGGAACACAAGTAGGGAGGCCATCACTTTCGTGGAAGGTACCAGGAGCTGACTTAACAGACGACTGCTTCTTAAATGGACAGCTCTATGTGGCCTGCTCCAGAGTGAGCTTATCAAGCAGCCTGGTGGTCCTAGCACCTGAGGGCAGAACTACCAATGTGGTCTAGAGAGAGGTCCTTCAGTAGAGGGGGGGGAGTAAGTATGTCTCACTTCATTTCTTACACTACAATCTTCTCTGTTAGAATTCCTACAACAAATGTCAGATTTCAAACTTCACATCATCAGTATTATAATTGGATTTACGGAACTTAAATACCGTAGCGAAGCACGGGTAGCAGGCTAGTCCAATATAAAAATAAGGCCAACCTTAGTAAAACCTTAGTAAAAAAATAAGGCCAACCTTAGTAAAAGTAAAAACCTTAGTAAAAGGCCAACCTCTGTAAATGCACTCTTTAGTCCTGTGTGGCTATAGACAGCATTTCCTCAGTTTCCTAATGTGTGTGGTATGCAGTATGCAATCTAAAGAAACTTTGGTAATAGAATTACAGCAGTTTGTGGTCAAGAAATGTGTACAGAGAACATGGTGTGCATACTCAGCATCCCAGGCAGTATGTCTCAGGAAGACTCCTATCTGAGACCTTGAAAGCCACTGTCTGTTACACCAGATAGTACTGGCCGATGTGGACTGAAGGTTTAACTTGGCAGAAGGTAGCTTTGTTTGTGTAATTTCCATTATGAGACTGAAGCATGAAGAATCTACAAAAACTCTCTCTTCTCCCCCCCCCCCCATTGTTGGTCTTCAGGCAACAGCACCTGGTTATAAGTCAGTGCTACAGATAATGAATGTTCCAGATGGCACACAAGACTTCAGTGCCCTGACCTATGACTTCATTTTGCCCGATGCATCTGCTGCACCAAAGCTTGCGTCATGCCCTACAACACCTCGTTATGCTGAAAGTACATCAACAACACTGAAGCCCACTATTAACATATTGATTTTAATTAATACTTTGTATGCAATTTTCAGATAACTTATGTATGCTTTTGAAAGTACTTGAACTACTTGTCTTTACCAGATGACTTAAAATAAGGTGGGCTATATTTCCTGGACAATCAATAAATTTTTGGCTATTTCAATATAATCTTACATAATTTACTTCATTATTTGAACTACATTGTAAAGGTGTGTTGTGTTCTGGGCAAAGCAGCTGTTATCCTACAGAATATTAATCCTAGGGCCACTAGTTTTCACTAGCTATTCTGTGAATCTGAAACAATCAAAGGTAATCGTTTTATAAACCAGCAGCTACTTCTGAGTATAGTAACTGGCAAGAAGAAGATTACAAATACTAATGAAAAGCCTGGAGTATGCACCTTTTTGCCTGTTCCATTGGCATTTTTCTTGTACTGGAGAGGTAGCGGTTACAAGATTATGTGCCATCCTTGGTTTGGAACAAGAGTATTAATAATAATACTTTGTAGGGGACAAGATAATCCCAAAGAAAGGACATGTATCTTATGTGCTAACTACTGCTCTCCCTTTTTGTAGTATCTGTGAGATACATGCAAAACCATGAGAGGGACCACACTAATACTTCTGATGTATGTTCAGTGGAGGGGTGTGCATCCTTGCTCAGGAATTTAAGCTATAATTCACTGGCAACTTGCAACTACTGATCATTGATTAAATTACAATGTTAACTTCTTCAAAATCCTCCTAATAATTTACTCTATTGACAGTTCTTAAAGCCCTTCTAATTACATTAATCTGCAATCAGCTTTCTAAAGAATCACTGGAAGCCAACTTCTCTAATTAAACCCACTATATCTTTCACTGTTTGAATATGTGTTTAATTTTCTCCTTTACTACTAAGTCATTATATTCTAGTACCATTATTTAGACTAGTATATTAATTTAATTCAGTGGTCATCATAATAAATACGGTAATCTTTCAATAACTGGAAAATATCTGAAGTTTCTAAATCTCTGCCTCCAACAAATTCTATGCTACAATTCCACCACTATTTCTATGTTGCACAGCTAAGGACTTGAGGACTGAGGAAAGCTGCAGTACTTTGACAACCTATTGAATCTTGAGTGAAATTGATCAGATTACAGAATGTTTATGGACATACCAAGGAAGAAATGCTGGTTTTCCTACTGCAGGATGAGCTCTGCTTCCTTGCCACAAACAGTCCACAGTGTCCAGGTGAAACTCTGCTGCTTCCCCTTCCCTCCTTTCTCCATGCTTCAGGTGACTAGAGTAGTTTTGTTTGGGTTTTCTTCTATTCAGCGGTCATTTCATAGAAAAAGAGCTGCAGGAGCTCATTAGCATACCTAATAAGCTATTAGCGTAATAGCTTATTAGTATATGCCACACCCCCTGACAGCAACGGAAGTGATGTCAGAAGGGGAAGCAAAAGTGGGGAGGCATCTTCAAAAGCCTCCCCTTCCCTTCCCCAGCACTTTAAATCCTTTCTCTCTTCACCCCCCCGCCCGCCTTGGCAGGCTGGCTGGGGAAGGGGAGGCTTTTGAAGATGCTCCCCCCTTTTTGCTTCCCCAGCAGATAACAGTAGGTTACCAGTAGGCTGCCAACTCCAGGTGGAAAATTCCTGGATATTTGAGGGATAGAGCCTGGAGAGGGGTGGGACCTCAGACAGGTACAATGCCATAGACTCCATCCTCCAAACCAGCCATTCCCTCATGGGGAACCATTGTTGCCAGTCTCCAGGGGAGGGCTGGAGATCACAGAATTACAACTGCTCTTCAGATGGCAGAGATCAGTTCCCCTGGAGAAAATGGTGGACTCTGTGTCTTTATACCCTGCTGAGGTTGCCACAGCAAATTGACGCTGAGTGCCCAAGGCCGGGGCACTCTCCCAGAGCCTCTTTCTAGAGCTCGTTGTATTTATTTCCACAACGGACCTTATTCATAGTAACCCTATAAGAGCATGAATAGAAGCAGGGGTCGTTTGGGGCCAGAGCGTGCCGGATCATTGCTCCGGCAGCCCCAGTGGTGGCAAGCCCCACCCCCAGCTTCCCACCCCGCCCCCAAGCTCCTTCAGTCTAGAGTCGTGCCGCAGCAGCGGTGAAATCTCTCCATTGTATTCTATGGCCCATAGAATACAATGGAAAGTGGCGGTGCGACTCCAGAGAAAAGGGGGCTGATTTCACACAAGGAGCTGCACCACCGTCGCGCCTTCCTTTGCCCTGTTCCATTGGTCAATTTCCCACTTGAAGCCGCGCAGCCACATTTTGACCCGTGGTTTCGCCTGATTTCCCCCGTGGTTTTGTGATCCAGTTTTTTGAGGATCACAAAACCACGGGGAAAATCGGGTGAAGCCACGGGTCAAAATGCAGCGATGCAGCTTCGAGTGGGAAATTGACCAATGGAAACGGGGCAAAGGGAGGCGCGACGGCGGGGCAGCTCCTTGTGTGAAATCAGTCGGGGTTTAAGCCTACTGTTATCTGCCCCCTAGCTTCAGCTTTCCATCTCCTCCCCCTCCCTCCTTTAGAGCAATTGTAATTCTGAGTGATCCCCAGCCCCCACCTGGAGATTGGCAGCAATGGTTCCCAATGGGGAAATGGCTGGCTTGCCGGATGGTGTCTTTGGCATTGTACCTGTCTGAGGTCCCACCCCTCCTCAAACCTCACCCTCTCCAGGCTCCATCCCTCAAATCTCCAGGAATTTCCCAACTTGGAGTTGGCAACCCTATCTCCCTCCCAGCCAACTGTCAACCTACTGTTATCTTTCCCCTGGCTTCAGCTTTCCATCTCCCTCTTAGAGAGCAGTTGTAATTCTGAGTGATCTCCACCCCCCACCTGGAGATTGGCAACAATAGTTCCCCATGGGGGAATGGCTGGCTTGGAGGGTAGAGTCTATGGTATTGTACCTGTTTGAGGTCCCAGCCCTCCTCAAACCTCACTCTCTCCAGGCTCCATCCCTCAAATCTCCAGGAATTTTCTACCTGGAGTTGGCAACCGTATCAGGACTGGCCCCTGTGAGTTTTCTCCCAAAGGCCAAAATAGGTGTGGAAAGGACCTTTTACTGAGGAGAAAGTACAGTTGGCAGCTCTGATTAGGGAAATTCCTGGAGATTTGGGGGGTGGATCCTGTGGAGGGCAGCATTGGGGTGGTGGTGGAAGGACTCAGCAGGGGATGATGCCATAGGGTCTACCCTCCAAAGCAGCCATTTTCTCCAGGGGAACTGATCTCTGTCATCTGGATATCAATTGTAACATTGTAACAGTGGGAAATTTCCAGGTCCCACCTGGAGATTGGCAACCCTAGGGGAAAGTCAACCGCACAGCATGGGGTTGAAGAGAATGATTTGATGGTCGCTAGCCCACCTTATTAGCCAGCCAGCCATGGTGGAGGCAAAAAGGAGAGAGAGATGTTTTAAGCTTATTCTGACAGGAAAGTGGGCGGGGGAGGGGGTTGTGTTGAAAGTCCTTTGTTTTTTTTACTACAGAAGCAAGCTTGGTTGCCTACCAACAGCCACTGAGGGGACAGTTAGTCACAGTTAGTCCCACATAGGAGCCAAGAGAAGTGTCTTTCTCAGGAGAGAGTCCGGCTTTCCAGGAGCTGCAGCTCGTTTCCTCTAGACCAGACCCTCCCTGGTGCTGCCGCAGCTGCTGAAAGAAGGCGGGGGAGCCTTTGAAAGGCGCTGGGCAGCCTCCTCTGTGGTGCAGCCCACTGAGCTATCACCCTGATGAAGCGCCAGCCTTGCGGTTGAGGGAGAGGGGCCGCTAGGCACAGCGAAGGTGAGTGTTTCCCCTGCTTGCCGCCTCACTAGGTCTACCTCCTTCTCTCCTGTGACGGGGTTGCTGCTCTCTCGATGGAGCATCTATCTCCTTCGCCAGCTCCCTCCAGTCTGAGGGCGAGACGCTGGCTGCTGGCTCTGTGGGTGGGGCTGAGGCAAGGCAGCGAGGCAGTGCAGCCAGGGGATCGGCAGACCTTCAGAGTGGCAGCTGAGGGAGATTGTCAGCAAGTCCCTCGTGGAGGGGCGGTTCCCCGAGGCACTCAAGGAAGCGATGGTTCGTCCACTCCTGAAAAAACCAACTCTGGACCCGGCAGAATTGGCCAGCTATCGGCCGGTGTCCAATTTGCCCTATTTGGGCAAATTGATCGAGAGGGCGGTGGCGACTCAGTTGCAGAGCTTTCTAGATTACGCTTCCGTCCTTGATCCATTCCAGTCTGGTTTTCACCCGGGGTATGGGACGGAGACTGTGTTGGTTGCCCTGACTGACGACCTCCGTAGACATCTGGATCAAGGCGGTGTGGCGGCGCTACTGTTGTTAGATCTGTTGGCAGCATTTGATACGGTAGACCACCAGCTGCTGGTCCACCGCCTTGCCGACGTGGGGATCCAGGGGCTTGCCCTTCAATGGCTTGCCTCTTTTCTCCAAGGTCGGGGACAGAGGGTTGTGCTGGGGGAGCAGCAGTCCCGGAGGCACCTGCTTGAATGTGGAGTGCCTCAGGGGGCAGTACTCTCCCCGATGCTATTTAATATATACATGTGCCCCCTCGCCCAGATTGTCCGGAGGTACAGGCCTGGGTGTCATCAATATGCAGATGACACCCAGCTCTATCTGATGCTGGGCGGCCAATCGGACTCCGACCCAGAAGATCTTCAACGGGCCCTACAGGCCGTGGCTGGGTGATCTAACAACAGCTGAGCTGGCTGAAGTTGAACCTGGCGAAGACGGAGGTCCTGTGTCTGGGTTGGGGTGGTATGGGATTGGGGCTCCCACTTCCGGCCTTCGATGGGGCTCCGCTTGTGCCAGCTTCGGAGGTTAGGAGTTTGGGGGTGCTCCTGGACCCCACCTTAATGATGGAGGCCCAGGTGGCGGCCATTGCCAGAGCAGCCTTTTATCATCCTCGGCTGGTGCGGCAGTTGGTCCCCTTCCTTAGCTGTGACGATCTGGCCACAGTGATCCATGCGACGGTCACCTCGAGGCTAGACTACTGTAACGCTCTCTATATGCGGCTGCCTTTGTCCCAAATTTGGAGGCTGCAGCTGGTGCAGAATGCAGTGGCCAGGTTGTTGGTGGGTGTCCCTAAATGGGAACACATCCAACCAGTGCTGAAGGCACTGCACTGGCT